AGAGAGAGAGAGAGAGAGAGAGAGAGTAACACGCAGACGGGCACACAAAGTCAAAAACAATACTTCCACCTACAGCACAATTCAATTATGGTACAGAGGCAGATATGAGTCCACACCAGTGGACTAATCCTCTACTTTAGTGACGTTGTATGACCCAAGGGCTATTTAAGGAGATGGGAAGCGCCCCCTATTTACTGATAGATGTGGGAAGTCCCGTGTAAAATGTTCCACTTGCACCTGATCGATTTTCAAGGAAACACAGTCAGCTAACAACATTAGGTCTGTTTCTAGTTCATTAGATCGATGTGTGGTCACGACCCCTGACCTGAAGAGCCATGCAGGTCTTACCTCGCGAACTGTCGTCCATTTCGGAAAAGTGCTTCAAAAATCATCGGTGCCCTCGATCGCGACATCTTATGTGCAGCTTTTCATGTGGTGTTAAACAAAATGATCTTATGTTAGCACACTTCAATTGGAATTATCATAAACCTTTTGCACTCAATTGCAGGGCCACGGTTTCCCAACAATTGACCACTGTTACAAAGGACAGGCGCTGGTCACAGAAACAGGGAGACTACGTAACATTGCACGCTGCTTGTGCGGGGTGCAGTCCGTTGTATGGGACGTTCGGCGTTAAACTGGAAGCCCCGTGCTTGCGGAATTCAATTAAAGCCACCTCACCAAAGAACCCAACACACTTATCGATAAGAGTTAATGCATCAACCCGGAGTGAGTGCATCAAACCCAGCAGTCTCACACAACTCGTCCCCACTGTACAAGAGACTGATCTGTATCTGTATAGCCGGTATCACCGCCCGGCGGCGTAACACATCAGCTTCACATGCACGCGGCACGTCGGCAGCTGGCTACATTACACCTGGGCTGGTATTAGGTACTTAGTAGTTGGTGCGTTACACCTTGAGGTGATGTGAATGCTAATGTATGATTAATATATAACATTGTAGAGATATCTGACAACGCGTTTAACTTGAAGAGTCTTTGTACGGCGTATAAGTGCGTATCTGACCGCAGGTGTTCCCAGGTAACTGACGTGTGACGTCACCACAAGACGTCTCGGCACACCTGGAGCCGCTAAGTCTGGTCGGACGGGCAAAACGTCTTAAAGGAAGAGGGAGTCATCAATCACTTCACGTCTTCTGACGGTGCCTTATTAGGAGATTTAAGGCTGATGAGACGGAAACCTGCCCTTAGAGACTCCGGCGGTCCGAGTGCAGATCCGGTCTTAAGTCTATTAGTAACATGCACGAAAGGAGTTCAACATCTAATGGACTTAAACCGGACCCGATTCACCGCCACCACTCTTAGCTTACAAAAGTGAGGACTTTTTTTAGTACGCGGCCCGCCTAGAGGCAAACAGGATCCCGGCACATGAAAGATTCATTTATCAAGGAACAACTTTTAATGGAGCTGTAATCGGACCCGGTTTACTGTAGCTATTCTTGGCGAAAAGGTAAAGCTGTAACAGAATAAAAGAAATCCGTCCACTGGAACTGGTTTTAGTCGTGAAGAGTGTTCTTTGAAATATGCAACCCGCCTAGAGCCAAACTGTTCTAATGTATAAAAGATAATTCATTCTAATGTATAAAAGATTATTCACTCAAGTCTTGGTAGTTCCTTCGTCATCGAAGAAGACTGCTAGTGTCCTCGTTCACGGGGGATGTGACCTCATATGGCTTCTCAGTCCAAAGTAACAAAGTACAGAATTTAATGGAGTCAGAATCATGGCTCTTAAAGGGCAATGAAGTTGTCCACCGTGGTCTGTGGGAAGCTGATCTCAGGAAGAGAACTGTGAATTCATTGGACTCGCGTCGTGTTAGCTGTCCTCCGGGTACAATTACAGACACAGCGACTTTACCGGCCGTTCAAGTTGGTTTTGTTTGATGTGCATATTATGAATCACCGTCTAGGTAACAGCGAGCCATGGCTCGTGTTGTAGCAGAGGTCCTGTCTGTAACCACAGAAAGTTTCTCCAGCTCGCGATCGCGGGTAAAATCTCTGACATGTGACCTGAGGGAACCCTGCGGAAGGTTGACGTTCCCGACAGTTTTACCGACGGTTTGATAGTGATACAGCCGGCCTCAAGGCCAATCGATCGTGCAGAATGAAACATTAACTATCTGATCATTAATGCATCAGATCCAGCTACACTTGCTTTTAATTTACATTTATATGCGCAGCCATAAGGCGTGAAGGTGGCAATAACGGAGGATCTGTGCTGTAAGCTGGCGGCAAATGTATTCTGCCGGTGTCGTGCTGCCCTAGTCCTGACAGTTTTAACGTCGAACCTGAGAGAAACGCAACACAATACCTGCATACTTTATTTTATTTATAGTTTAACAGTAAGTATGTATGTAACAGATGTAATATATATCAATATGTATGTATGTGTGTATAAGTGTGGCGGGTTCTTTAACGTGCTCCATGGGTGGTTTTCAAACACAGGACCACCGGCTTAACGTCCCATCGGAAAGTCACTACCCCAGTCCAGAAGCGCGCTTATCTCGTAGTTTCACAAATTGACGTCCCCCGGCCTTCTGCGAGCCTTCCCATATCGATTTCCCGTGTGAAAGTTGACTCAGCGCGGCGGCGGTTTGATTTGCTGTCGGTGGGGATCGGAGAAATCGGCGGTAATTGGCGCGACGGAAGGTCCGGTGTGTAAAACAAAGCGTGCCGGCATCGCCGGATTATCGGCGGGCAGGGAATTACGTACGCCCTGACTACATGATTGATACTGCGCCCGCACTGCGTGGTATAATCGCCCTTCGGTGTAACACACCTGCTTCTGTATCTGTGTAGCCGGTACTACCACCCCACATCTATGTTGTATAGGCGGTAAAACCGTCCTTTGGCGTAACACTAACACGCTTATCGACGGTACCACATCGATCAGCCTCACAGGCATGCTCGTAACCAAGTCCAGGCGCTGTTTAAAGCTATCTAATAGGATTGCCCAGCTATGATAAGTCGCAACAGGTTCCATTCTAGTGTGATAATTACTTCCTATTCACATCCTACGCCTGATGGTATCCTTGTATGTAGGTATCAACTGCACCTCCTGTCGGTTTTCCTAAGCATTGTAGTATCTATCACTCATGCTACGCAACAGAAAAGTGACCATTGTTCTGAGTTTGCATTGCATGTGTACCTGTCTCTAGACTAACCCGTTCGTGTCGCCCTTACAGGTGTGGCTGTCTCTAGACTACGTGGCCAGCACGGCCTCCATCTTTAACCTGTTCGTGCTAAACCTTGACCGCTACTGGAGCGTGACGGACCCGCTGAAGTACCTGCGAAAGCGCACCAAGCGACGGGCGTCGGTACTGATCTCCATCGTGTGGGGCGTGTCGGCGCTGTGGATCGTCCCGATCGTGGGCTGGCACCGCTTCGCCTCGGGCGGGGTCAGGAGCGTTCCTGCCAACCAGTGCGACACCGAGTTCCACAGCGATTGGCTCTTCAAGGTAGTGACGTCACGTACTGATCGTCCTAGAAATGACATTCGTCAAATACGCGTGTCTGCTGCATACTCTTAAATGTTGTATTTGTTTACACTCTACCTGTTTTATCCCTTTGCTTCTATCATCGTAGTAAGATCTGATTTGTGAACCGTAACTTGCCTTTCAAACAACGCGCACTGGTCAACGTTGTTGTTGACGCACCACTAAGTTGCTTTCACTGACGTGACTATGAGGGTTACACCTGATACATCTGATGAATATCTACGCGTAGTCACTGTCACGTAATTGTGACATGTAGGCATTAAAATTTATAGGTCTGGCCTGACCATCATGACTACCGTGACGTCATGTGTAAACAACATATAACGAAAACCGTTACTTTACCCTTTTTTCCAGGTGGTGACGTCCCTGCCGAACTTCTACCTGCCCATGGTGCTGATGGTGTTTCTGTACGCGCGGATCTATGACGAGGTCAGCAAGCGGCACAAGAACCTGACGGCGCACGTGGCCAGACCCAGCGGCACGGAGGAGGACATCAGGTAGCACACCCACTATCCAGATCCCATTGCAGTGTTAGGACATGCGGAGTACTACTATACGGTAGTGCAAGAGACAAACAGCATCACCATTATCATAAAGTTTGTTGCATAAATCGCGAAAGATCGATTTTACTGCCATTAAATCATTCACTTCTTCTGTAGGATGAACGCTGCCGGAGTACGACGCTCCTCCTCCTCTTCTCCTCTTCACCGCATCAAGATCGTCTTCAACGGGCCGACGGGGCTGGCCGAGTCACCCGACCTGCTGCCGAAGTTTCCCGACGATAGGGAGAGGCTGCCGGACTTTTCCGACGACGTGTCGACGTTTGGTGACGACGTGGAGAGTCTGCCGAAGTTTCCCGACGACAGGGAGAGAGAAAGTCGAAGATCTTCGAACCTGCTGACCGTCGACTGGACGCCCTCTGACCCCGCCTTCTCTTCCTCCGGGTCCCGCAGAAGTCTCCAGTCTCCGTCCCGTGAGGATCTCTACATCTTACGTCACAGCTGGCCGGAGTCTAAGATAGGAACCTCCTTGAGACGGGACTCGGCTGGTAGCGGGGAGTTCGACGCCGAAACGGCGGTCGACTCACGCCGGAAAAACCGACGGGCCTCCAGCTGCACCCCCAGCGGGAAGAGTCTCGCCATCCTCCGTAAACTCAAGTTCCATTCACGGTAAATGTACTGTTGTAAGCTTGTATAGAGGAGCTGCCGTGACTCATACTACAATGTATTATTAGTTAGATTACTTTCGTCCCATATACATTTGTAACTCTAATGTATATAACTCTAAATTTAAGCATAGATAATATATTTTGTAACGTTATAAACTAGCAGGGCTATTTAGATTCTACTATGTCTGACATCTGTTAAAAAATGAATCAATTTCTTTCTTTCCGTCCTTCCTTCCTGCAGAATCCACTCCGACAGAAAAGCAGCCAAGCAGCTGGGCATGTTGATCGGCTGTTTCCTGGTTTGCTGGCTTCCCTACTCCATCCTCTTCATGGTGTGTACTAAAGACACCTATCCCTGACCTTTCAAAAATATGATAACTAATATATCACAAAGTCAAACAGGCTTGTATTGCATGCAATCCAAGCATGACGTAACTGAAACAACAACTACTGGCCGACTCCTCCAGTTCAAAGCAGCAAAGCCTTGAAACTGATCCGGAACCGGGATTAGAGTTTCATTCGCCCACGATACGATTTTCGATCTCAAACACCTATACTACATCATGCTAAATGGAACACCTCCAATTTTATATGTTTTATTGAATATCCCTGACGCCCGATCTTGTACGTCACTGTTCCAGGTCGTGTCCTTCTGCGAGAAGTGTGTGGATCCGAACGTGTTCATGGGGACCATCTGGCTCGGGTACGTCAACTCCACCCTCAACCCTTTCCTGTACCCGCTGTGCAACGGGAACTTTCGGCGGGCCTTCAGGAACATGCTGCGGTGCCAGCAGCAGCACACGCCCGCCAGCAGCAGGGAGTGGAGGTACCCGCCGAACGGCAAGCTGCAGAGGACAGCCTCGGCAATGGACCTGTCCGCTGTGTGAAAAAACTTACTCTATCAAAGCCGCCAACTTTTACGTAGAACGTCTTCCACACTAGACGTTCCCGTGTGAGAAAAGGTTACACTAGCAAGCTCACCTCCGCCTGACTGCACCAGGAAATCTACCCACGCCAGGCTAGGACTGCTTCGATACTAGCCCTCCCTGGTGTTGAGCCAAATCCTTGAGCTATCTCATACGTGAGAGGTCAGGTGTTTAGGGCTAGGGTTAGGGTTAGGGTTAGGGTTGGTATTAAAGTTAGGGTTTGGCTAAGAGTTGGGGTCATTGTTCAGGGCTAGAGTTAGACTTACGATTGGGATTACTAGGTTAGTCTCCCACTCCCACCCCTTGTCTCAGGTATATTGCAAACCCCCAAGTAGTGTCGGAGTTATGTATTTGGCAGGATCATGTATTTGGCTTGACACCGGGCCAAGATCCAGATCTAGACTATGACATCCAAGACTTAGGGCCGGGGTTTTCAAGAACAGTAAATAAATCGCCGGACCTAATAATGATGTGCAGGAGACAGTGGGCTTCAATTAAACATTAATTGTAGCTGTACAACGAATAATCGTAGCCTGGAAATGTTTCTAACTCTACAGCGGATAGACCCGCTACAGCCCCAGGTGGTGATGACGATGATGTAAAGGGTCACGTTAGAGTTCAAATGTGAAATGGCATCGACCAGAAGGTTAAAAACTACAACTGGCCTGGGTGGAAGTCTGACCTCGGTTAAAAAAAAGATTGTTGTATTCTAAGCTACTGGTGCTTTAAAGAGAGTTATTCATTGTACAAAGAAAAGTTATCAGATGAACCTGGACCTATAACGCAAAACAAGCACAGTCTACACCATGATACAGAGATCTTGTAGCGTGCACTTCACAGATTGACTTCATTTGGAAATGCTAGATGAAAGATCTACTGTTATTTTTGTAGCCAGGAAATACGAAGAGGTATGATAAAATCCCATAGTAGTCATAGTAGAGTCATAAACATATACTCAATGTGTATGATTCTTCAGTATAATATACGTATATCAATCATATATACCTTTGGTTTACTAATAAGTATTTTTGTATCTGTACGTTTTCTGTAGAATACCCCTCGAGAATGTGCTTGGTGGTAAAGTTGAATTGTTCATGTAAAGATGTGATAAATGGACCAGACGATAGCACACATATAGTACAGGTGCTAATGTTACATGATGCAAGTAGAATGGATGTACGTGCAGCAGATTTGATGTAAAGGACGTTGTCGTGATAATTGTCGAAACAAATAGTAAACCAGAAAACTCTACATTTTTAAATGTTTATAAAAGGCACTTGATGTACGATTAGTGAGTCTTGAGTCTGAGGTCAATTTGTTGGTAAGCAAGGCTTTGGTCGCTACAGAACGGCACGCTCAACAATGTGGAACAGCAAGTCTTTGTACTGTTATGCAGAGTCTGCACACCCTTTGACACGTTTGTGTTCAACCCTGAATAAACGACTTTGTTAGTTGATGTCTACAATACTACAATTCCAGATCCAAGTTTTGCTGTTTTGTTAGCTGCTAGCAATCTAGATTGAAATATGGTGTGTGGTGTGTGTGACTATTTGTGCGTGAGTGTGTGGGAGGGGGTACAGAAATCGGGGGTTCTCGTCTTGTAACATGCAGCAATTACTGTTCCACCAGGTGGCGTTTCTAACTGGTGGTTCTGCAGCACTGACTGGTCCGCAAGGTGGCACTTCAGGCTGGTTGCTATACAACATTCAACAGTTGGCGCACTGATCTAAGTTCATACGTCGTTGGTTTGGTTTCCCACAGAGAACGACCTTCTAACCCGTTAACCTCGCATATTTTGCACATCGAAAATAGCAGCAATCTCCCCACTGCAGCTGACGCAACGCAACCATCACACCGACGCGCAGTGAAAAGTCTGGACATAGTTTATTTATTTTTGGTACAGAACCTGATGCAAATGTACACCTCCAGTCGTATCGTAGGACTCCGTCCAACATTAAATATGGTTTACACTTAAAATCCAATAGTATATATATCAGATACTGGACACAATAAGCCCCTTATAGCCAGAAAATGTAGATAACATGTGTTTATACTGGTACGATGGCAACTCCCAGCGTGCACTATCAATTTTCATTCGCCATTATTACCCACAATACCTCGCGGCTAGGCTACCAAGCGGTCTCCCCGAGGTTAAAAGATACGGCTGAAGTAGTTAGCTGAACCATTAATAATTCATTGCTTATAATGCAATTTGTTTTTCCGTGGCAGAAAGCCTTCTTCAAATCAGTCATGCTTTTCCTCATCAGGAGTATTGACACTCTTTGACACTCACAGGAGAGCCAATCGTCACATGAGCGCAGGGCTGGTGGTAAAGAACACACAACAGCAACGACAAGAACAGCAACGACGCAGTCGGAATTCCCCGGGAGTGCATGATCCGGGAACGTGGCTATTCCGGGAATGCAAGCTTTGGTGCATTCCGGGCCTCCTTCTGTCCACAGAATTGAAGAAAACAAAACAAACATCCAAATTTCTCTGCCACCTTAAAATGCTTACAGGAGGGAAGAATGCAAAGCTGACTGAGACCACTGTGGTTTGCATTTTTTGGTGCTTGAATATATCCACAGAGAAAATAACCTCCCCTGCACGCTGGGAGCCGCCACAGTGATGACCAACCATTTCTCCGCGCAACTGTGTAAACAACGGACAAACTGTCGTCCTTCAGGCCTGTCAATCATCCAAGCTAAAACGGCGCGAAACAGGTGACATATGACATGGGTAGTATGTAAGACCCCCACTACATGGTGTGGCAAGTAGTCTATATAGTGAGCGATGTTCTAAACATTGATGACACGCTAACTCTTATGACTACACATATGATTATCTACACATACACGTATGTACTCAATGCATACACTAATATTATTGTTAGCGACTAAATAACCCTATTGAATGTCTAATGAGGGAACATACAAGTGTGTGGAGCAGGCTCCACGTCATCCGGGCATGGCGAACATTCTGGTTAGAGGAAGTCATGCCCAAGCAGCCCTGCAAGATTGTCAATAAATATTCTGATGTCCTCGATGCATTTGAGTTCCTCCTAGAGGACAAAGCGGTTATAACAAGAGTCACAGAATGTCAGTGGCACGATATGACATGTGAAAGCGTCGTTAAAGTCTGTAAAGTTCATCTCCTTCTAATTATACACTGCCGTTACATGTTGAGGTTGGAAGAATCTAAGTGAATGTCCTGACCCTCGGAAAATATGGGCATTTTATGGACTTGGCGGCATGCCTCTAGGTTCACCACCAGTTCAAGTGAGGACGCCTTGTTTGTTTTAGAAATTGAGTGAAGTTTGTACAATAATGATACTTGTACAGATACTTGTATCAATGTTAGAACTCTTCAAACTTGGATTCCTGAACGTGTTCCATAGTACTCGGCTCAGGAGATACGCCGTAATATATCAAGGACTTTCCGGCGGGATGCTGTCATCTGCCGGGTATCCAGTACCCCGGTGTACTGCGACCAATGGACTGGGGATTTGGGCTGGAAATTTTAGCTTTTGGATGCGAAACTTTGTTATGACAAAGGTACAAGCAAAAACGTAAAATCTGTGGACAAGCCTTTACCCGTCACTTCAACTGTCTTTAAATTGAGATGGAGGGGGGGGGGGCTGCATCACAAACCTCTAGGCAAATTTGATCCCCTACTGGAAGTAATGTACCCAAGGTAGCGACTAAGGTCGACCAAAAAGTCATTGTGTTTGGAAGAAAATGTCAATTTATAATGGAAATGTACATACGTCTAGCTTTACCTTTCAAGTTATTACTTTGCCTCTATTCATCATCGATTGCACGATCATCGAGGGTTTTTTTTTTCAATGGTGGGTTTTACCAAGGAATCCCTTCAATTTCAAGATCTTAGGAATTCGGCAACTATAAACGGTAGAGTCCGGGGAAGTTAGGAGGGAGAGGAGCAGTGGGTTGGACAAAGTCAGGGCTGAACAGAAATGATTACGTTGATGCGATGTACATTCTGCAAGCGGAAATGTACTGTGAACTGTTCCAACGTTTTTTTCCTGTGTCCGTGAGCGGAAGAACCCAGTGTGGCCGTGTGTCATAAGCCAAATGATTTTCACGATTCATGCGGGTCATGTCAACGAAGTGCAACTTTTACAGTCAGATTTTCAGAGGCCTATTGAGCCACTCATTTTTTTATCCTGGTCTTGAAAAAGGTCTGAAATACAAGATCACAGATTCACTGTAACAAAGAGGACCCCCTCCCCCTTTTCGCAACCTGACCACCAAGTACCCACCCACCCGTACCGGACCCCCTCCTCTTGGCAGCACGCTCACAACAACCCCCGGGTGAGATGAGTCCATCAGAATTCGTCCTTGTCGCGCTTGGGTTTCATCAGGTTGACGAACTCGTCGTAGCAGAGCTGCCCGTCTCCGTCCACGTCAGCCAGCCGGATCATCTCATCCACCTCCCCCTCAGACAGCTTCTCCCCCAGGTGCGTCATCACGTGCCGCAGCTCGCCAGAGTCGATGTAACCGTTACCGTCCTTGTCAAACACCTGAGGACAACAACAGACAAGATGTGTCAGAAACATGCCGAGAACAGGAAATACGCCAGGCACATGTTGACAACAGGAAATATGTCAGGCACATGTTGACAACAGGAAATATGTCAGGCACATGTTGACAACAGAAAAGAATATGTAGTTTTGTTATCGGGACCCACAAAAATTGACCACAATGCACATTTTGTAAGTTTTGAAACACCTGGCACATTTGACACATTTATCACATTTTAAAAGCCAAAGTATAAAGAGTACAAATTCTCCTAAGGGGAAGATGATATCAAATTGAACCACACAGAACAGACACACTGACAATCACCGGAGAAACGCGCCCTTCAAACTCCTGTTGAGTTGGAAAGCTTCAGCAGTGTGATTTGAATTAGAAACTTCGGAGGACTCAAGGTCACGCAAGGCAACTAATGGCTGCTGGCTTGAAACGGATCAAGTTGCTATAAGCCCGCTTTCCATCACGGAGTATCAGGACTCACTGCCGGTATCGAGCCACGGTACGGCCCAGTGGAACCACGGTACGGTACGGCTCGGGGGAACTACGGTACGGCCCAGTGGAACCACGGTACGGTACGGCCCAGTGGAACCACGGTACGGCTCAGGGGAACCACGGTACGGCCCAGTGGAACCACGGTACGGCTCAGGGGAACCACGGTACGGCCCAGTGGAACCACGGTACGGCTCAGGGGAACCACGGTACGGCCCAGTGGAACCACGGTACGGCTCAGGGGAACCACGGTACGGCTCAGGGGAACCACGGTACGGCTCAGGGGAACCACGGTACGGCTCAGGGGAACCACGGTACGGCTCAGGGGAACAACGGTACGGCTCAGGGGAACAACGGTACGGCTCAGGGGAACCACTTGGAGATAGATAAATTTGATTTATTGGTTGGTTGATAAATCGATTGATTAATTAACTGATTAATACTGTTACAACCCAACCTGTGTAGACCCTCCTTTTTATCACTATCAATACTTACTGTGATTAACGTTACAGGACGTCTTAAGGTGGTTCTTACTTAAGAGACGACCGAGTTCATCTAAATCAATGTTCCTCCAACATGAATCCATGCTTGAAGACGAAACACCATGACTACATTGTACGAAGTGATGACGACTCCTGCCATGGATAGGAACTGCAGTTGTAAGACATGAAAAGTCAAACTATACAAGTTCGACAGAAGAGATGAAGAACGTCCCTGTCTACGTTTGCAGAAAATGTAGACTTCTATCATTACTTGGCAGAAGGCTTTGGTGCCTTAATTATGCCTTGTGATTAAGCATGAAAGTCCATCTGTGTTGGTGCAAGTCCGCCTTGTGATCTTTATTCACGCAACTTTGGTGTGGGTACTTTTACACCTGAAGGAAAAGCTTTAAGACTGACGCGGGTACTTCAATAAGTCTCGGGGGTCCATATCTTCACTCCTAATTCACGACGTGCACTTAACGCTGCGGCCTCCTTCCCGCCTCCATTCCGCCGCGACCCCCGGGACCCGGGTCAATATGGAACATGCCGGGCCTTTATGTAAGACTCAACGGGGTCGATAAACACTTCAGACCGGGGGGGGGGAGTATTACTCGTGACTTCCACATGAGCAAAGCGTCTTTTGGGGCATAGAAGTCGGGGAAGGGGTACTTGCACAGATGAGTAAGAGCAGCGGCTGTGGAATGCAGATAAATGTGAGGAGCACACGTGGACTGCAAACTAGAAGGCCAAAGACCTGCAAGGAAGTGCTGGGCATTTTCCTACCTATCTTTTCCGCTAACAGCTGCATCTTTTTTGCAGTGCCCCCTGTCAGAGAAGGACGTGCTGCAGTGTATCTTTAAGATCATATCCATACACATCTTCCATGGCCCACACGAGAGAGAGAGAGAGAGAGAGAGAGAGAGAGAGAGAGAGAGAGAGAGAGAGAGAGAGAGAG